CTTATGCCCAAGATTGATCGCTGAGGTACTCCGTTTGTTAAAGGTAGCATTTCTGAGACGGAATCTTCGTATCGTAGCCTTTGATATCTACTGGATAGATGGCGGCTAAACCAGGAAACTGCTGAATCTTTGAGGCCAAGTTTTCGTAGTTTTTCTAGTAATAAATTATGATTAAGACTGTCGAAAGCTTTTGACATATCAAGCAGTACAAGTAACGTGGCCGATTTTTCGTCAATTGCTTTCAAGAGATTGTCTGAAACATTTATAAGAGCAGTTTCTGTTGAATGCATTTTCCTATTGCCACTTTGGTAGAGCAACAGTTTATCATTCGTTGTTAAAAATTCCACAAGCTGCTCGTGTGCCAGTCTCTGACTTACTTTCGATAGAATGGGTAATAATGATATCGGTCTGTTGCTGGCCGGTTCTTCTGAATTGCCTTCTTTGGGTACAGGTATCAGTTCAGCAATTTTCCATGCTTTGGGAAAGGCAGCCATTTGAAACGAACTATTCACCAGTCTGGAGATCACAGGTGCGATGCTATCGGCTATAGTAGTGACTGAAATGGAAAATGCCTTCTTCGAAGAAAGAAAATTTTTCTTCTAAGTTTCTACGATGTGCAGATCAAATCTATTTAAAAATCTCCGCAAATCAATTACGTGTAAGCGGAGACGCCATTGTGAAAATAGTTCGAGATGTTTATAGTCTTTTGTGGTGTCATGCCAAGAACTGAAAAAATCCAATCTTTGGATCTACTCGATATAATTCTCTGATTCAAACGATGAAATGCTCTCCCTTCGAGAAACAAAAACGTTTTTCCCTAAATTTGCATGATGCATAGATCAAACTTTTCGAGTTACTTCTGCGTGGAAAAGCTCTGATTTTTTTTTTTTTTTTTTTTTTCACATGCTCTCTCTTCTCTTATGTAAAGAGCATTCACGCGTTTTCCGAGTCTTCGTTTCTTTCACACAAGTGGTAGGAGAAACAAGGGAACCACGTATGGGAGAAAACTCTTATTATTTACAAGGAGATTGGTTGTTAGGGCGAAGTACAAATATAACGAGGTTTTGTCCTCGTTCTCACTCTGTAACTAATACTGCTGATGTGGATGGCAACATCTTAGCGGCATACTGCTAGCTTTCTATCATCGATGAAACATACTTCGCTCATGATTAGAAAAACAAGACCTTTTGAATATTACAATGGAACAGTAGGTCTCCTCGATGACCAAATAAACATGCGGATATGAGAGAGCTTTTCTAGAAATAAACTTAAGGCACCTTTGACCGTAGGGTAATCCGATGATTTATTAGTTAATTCATTGTGGTACCTACCAAAGTTGTCAACTCTTTCATTTTCCTTTCCTCGATGAAAATCAGTTTAGCGGTAGAGTGTCGAATGCGACGAGAGGTTATGGAGTGGATTGATGTCTCCAAAACGGAATATTTCAAACTAATGTATTCGGAACATGCATGACAATTCATTTGATTGACGTTTCGTTTCAGTTTTTCCCGCCTTGTCTCCCAATAATAACGAGATCGACGAGACGTACAGAGTCACGAAAAAGCTGGAAATATCACTGATCTCATTTCGATCTTGCTTTTCATTTGTTTCGGCACTAAAGTGAAATAATGGTAATAAGAATTACAACAACACATAAAATGTATAGAATCGTGAAATTGGATATACAATTTCAGTTACAATTCCAGTAGTTTTACTATGGAAATATCAAGATAAGCCAAACTATAGTTAATAGATTAACTATGGCCAAACACCCCTTTGTATTGGAGCGTGGGCATGGCATAGAGAGAGAGTCCTTGTCAAGCCAAAAACTGAAAAAAAAAAAAAATTATATTTTTGGATCTAAGAGAAGAGATTTGTTAAACAATTTACTAAAGAATTGCGATAAAATCGAAAAGGTTAAAAAGTTAAAAACCATCTTGGTTTAAGAAAAATGCGATGACGTTTCGACGTTCGCTTAACGTCATTATCAAGTCAATAACGAGCGAAATGAGAACGAATATAAATGTAAAAGAATTCCTAAGAGACACAGATCACAAAATTGAAACTATGTAAATCCGTGTTATCCGTGTTATCCGAGTCTCTTAGGAATTCTTTTACATTTATATTCGAGAACAATGCGAATCTTTAAACTACGCGATACCTAACTATGGTGATACCTTTTACTTCTAAAATATGTGATACCAATATCAGAGTCATTAGGATTATGTAAAAACAAGGCGTTTCTCGCCTAAGGGTGGGGGGGTCAAAACATCTTATATATACTACGTAAGGAGTAAACTCGTGATTGACTAATCTAAATTAACCAAATTTCTCTTCGAAAGTGTTTATAAGGTATCCTTACAACCCAGCGGATCTTAATAATGACTTTTTTTTTTCTGCTACTGAATGATCAGTTAACAGATGCAATTCAAAACCTAGCGTATTACTAATAGCTTTTGATTCAAAACACGAATGACCCACGAATCAAAATTAAAACCGACTTGTTCTGTCAAACACTGTTTCGAATCGTTTGAAATTCCGATGCTCAGTTTGTCTGCACTCTCCGCGCAAACCTATTATTTACAAGGAGATTGGCTTAGGATGAAGTACAAACATAAAGAAGTTTTATCGTCGTTCTCATTATGTAAACAATACCCCTGATGTGGATTGCAACATCTTAGCTGCATGTTGATACCTTTCTATCTTGGATGAAACATGCCTCACTTATGATCAGAGAAACAAGACCTATTGAATATTGCAATGGAACGGTAGGTCTCCTCAATGACCAAATGAATTTATGTGGATATGAGAGAGCTTTTCTAGAAATAAACTTGCGGCACCTTTCACCGTAGGGTAAGCCGATGATTTATTAGTTAATTCACCGTGGTACATACCTACCAAAGTCGTCAACTCTTTCATTATACTTAGCTTTCCTCGGTGACAATAAGTTAAGCGGGAGAGCATCGAATGCGATGAGAGGTTATTAGTGGACTGATGTCTCCAAGGCGGAATATTTCAAATTAATTTATTCGGAACATGATCACCAGACAATTGGCCTCCACCACAGAAAATCTGTTTTGATTGTTGAATCTGGTGGACATTCAGAACCCACAGATACCTAGGGGTCGAAATTGATGATACTTTAACGTGGCACTCTTAAATTGATCAGATTGTTAAAAAAGTATCAGCCGGCCTAGCTGGCAATTCTAAAGCGGGCCAGGGCCGTAGTACCGCAAGATAACTTAACTCACATGTACAGTGCCCTGTTTGTTCCATTTTTCGACTATTGTAGCCCAGTATGGGGTTGTATCGGAAAATGCCAATCTGAGAGACTCCAGAAGCTGCAAAATAGAGCTGCTCGTATAATAACCAATTCTGATTATATGACGCCATCTACTAGTTTATTGCATGACCTTGGCTGGGATACACTCGAAGAAAGGCGTACTAAACAGCTAGCAACTGAATTACTATATATAAGGTGGTCAATGATCACTTTCCATCTCGCCCTCATAATCTTTTACAAACAACATCGCAAGTCCATATCTATAATTTGAGGGACTCGACTCATAATCTCTTTACTCCCAGACCACTCTCTGAAGGCGGAAAACGTAGCCTGCACTATAGAGGTGCTACACTATGGAATAGCCTCTCAACTACTAGCAAAACCCAGACCACTGTTACTGCCTTCAAAGAATCCCTGCTGACATAGCAATTACTTTTTGTTATAATTTTAACGATCTGGTTTCATTTTAGGATTTAATAGCTCTTATTGTATGACAAGTTTTAGTAGTAGTTTTTACCTCATGGTATGACGTAAGTCATGCTATGAGGTTTGGGGTTTGGGGGCGAAAATCAATTAAAAATCACTCACTCCATTTGTTAGACATTAATTTATGCCTTAAATCTGGATTAAACACTTTTTCTTCCCCTCGCCGACAAGTTTCCCTGTTCAAAGTCACGGTGTACGTAAAGTTGAGGGGTGGTACAAAGGCGAGAATATGCCGTACTACTTGGACAGATTCAAAATGACGTCCTGTCCCTTGAAGTGTGATGGTTTTTTTGATTCCAGACTTGATCAAAACATACCTTTGTGGAGCCAACAATGGAAAGGAAATATGCTACACAATACTCAACTGCAGAGAAATGGGCGTCTAAGTCCTAAAAGTGACGATAACATAAACGATTCGTGCGTGAAGACCCAAACACCGCAAATATGAAGCGAGCTTAAGCTTACTGCTCAAAAAACTTTCTAAAGAAAGCCAGATTGCAGGTTACGTCAAGGGCGCCAAAAATTCATACCATGAAGTTGCTCTAAGGGGCCTTTGATTAGTTTTAGCATTGCTGTTGGTACATAGTATTAGAATATTAGTATTAGCTTAAGTTGTATTAATTAGTAGAAAAAGCGCTCGTTCTAGATTGCTTATGAATGATTATTTGTCTATTTAAGTTACACACGGCTCGATGGAAGAGCATATTTTATATGAAATTGATACCGTGTATAACTAAAGCCTATGTATATGTGTGTGTGTGTGTGTATGTGTGTGTGTCTAGGTTACCAGCGTCTCTTCATTATAGCAGCAGCTATCCCTCATAATGCACATATAGACTGGACTGCTACACTCAACACGGCTCCGATCCGTACTACTGTAGCTAAAGCTCAAATTTTGACTTTGTCACTTAACTTAGCTTTAACTTCGTAATCTAGCTTAGCTTTTCTTGTCTGCTTGTGTTTTTTTTTGTTTGATTTTCTGGTTTTGTTCGTTTGTGAGTTTTTTGGTTATTTTGTGTTGCTGTTTTCTCTTCATTCCGTGACGTTGGCCCTCCTATATTCATAAATTCCTCAACCAATCCTCCAGGTTATCGCATCTACTCCCGCAAGTGACCAAGGGAAAAACAAAAAACGACTAAATAGAGAGAACGGGCCAGAAATCAATGATCTGGAGACGAGAGCTCTCGGGCGTTCTGTGTTTGCGCGCGCAACGGTTTGCGATGTCAAATGCCACTACTGTGACCTCACATAAATCGAGTCTTCCGATAGAGTAACAAAATGATGGCTCTTTAATCTAGGGCCATAAAATAATTCTAGCCAAGATGCCGAAATCTTACGAAAGCTTGTGGGAAAAGCCAGCGATGGAGGGGAGAAGACTTTAGTCACTCAACGGGTAGTTTAAGGTTAGATATTTTCACTTCCTTTTTTGGTTCATCCGTTTGCTAGCTCATTCACTCCGAAAAGGCATAAAAACAGGTTGTTTAGCCCAAGACAACACAACAATTCAGATTCAAAATTGACACACCTCTAAGAAATGGCCTCAGACTATGCCAGCTTCAAAACATTCCTTTAAATTAACTTACAGTGAAATTTTAAACATTTGTAGATCAATCGTTGATGGAAGCGAATACTTTCCGTAAGATTACTGTTTTTTGAGAAAACATCGTCGTCATAGTCACCAAACTCGAGCTTGTTTGCCAAACAGTACTGTTCTCTATTCAACGGTTGACATGCGCCTTTTGTTTTCCCACGCGCTCCCTAATTGACAGGTGTCAGGTTGTGACATATAATAATAATACAAATGAGTTTCAATGTTTCTCAACGAAAATTGCATCACGGGGTTAAGATTGTAACAGCCAACATTTATGTCCAGGAATATGTTTGACAAATTAATACGCAGTTGCTCCATTTTATATTACGACAGGAAAATGGAACTAGGGTGTACCTATTGACGGAGTATACTCCAGTGTCTGCATATTTTGTCTCAACCGTTGAAAAGTGTAAATGAAATAACACTGAACGCTCATTTTATCTCTTTTTTTTCAGCCATAGGTGAAAAATTGATTTATAGAACCAGTAATTTTACTTTTCTTTCAACAAATGGAATCGTGTTTTCCTTTACTATCTTCTTTAGCAGTTCACCAACGAAGGTCACTTCGTTATCAATTTATTCTTTCATTATTTCGACATTCTTCACAATAACATCAAAAGGTGTTTACTGCGGCCATCTTAAATAGCGGTGAGTGGTTCATTTAAGGCTCTGGTTAACAATAATTACTTGAAAAAAAAAAAAAAAACAAAAACAGTCGTAGATGTAGTAAAATGTTCTAAAAAGTCTATTTCCGAATGTTAACAAGTAAAATACGCTGTTCTGAACGCTATTATTGGGCTAACACGGACTTTGTGAGGAAATTATGTACAAGGATATCAATGTAGAAAATCCAGCGACCCAGAATTCACAACTTAAAAACTGCATCAACAACTGCGACAGACTTAAAAGCGTAAAGTTCAGAGCAGTAACCAATACCCTGAACGATGGCAAAGGAATTGTTAGTTGAAATGAAAACTGTGAATCTACTCTACAGCTCTGAATAAATTTTCTAAAGCTCATTATTTTGCATAACTGATTCGAGTCATTTCACAAAAGCTTCGGGCGGAATCCTCCCACTCTCCTAAATGGGAAAGAAGTAGTGTGTGGTAAGAACATAATGTTTACAAGTGAATAAAGGGGGTTAGTTTCTAAAGAAACTGTGGTGTTGCGTCGGTGGGGGTAACAAGGTAATTTGGTAATATCAACTAAGTTGAAATTGTAAATTGGCCACCGTAAAGAGTTAAAAAGCTGACGTTTCGAGCGTTAGCTCTTCGCCATTCGCTCTGACGAAGGGCTAACGCTCGAAACGTTAGCTTTTTAACTCGTTACGGTGGCCAATTTACAATTTTAACTTAGTTGATATCACCAAATTATAATGTTTACAAGGACTGTTCAAATGCAATTGAATTAATATCGTAACATTGGTTGTGATTTGTCATTGTGGTGAACAACACTTTCAAAAGAGAATGGATTGCAACGTTTCGACTGCATACTGCTTGTCTTCTTCAAACGATGAATTCGATTGAGCACGCGTCACCTAAAATGTTGTACTCGACTGTGATTGGATTAAATTCCACGGCCATGATTGGCAGATCTTTGGAATAATTTTCTGATCAGTTTTTGATCATTTTTTATTATAGTCAAAATTTAATGATGATGCACAACGAGTTATTTGTGGCTGGAGTATGGCAAAAACTATATGAAGGAAATCAAGGGAGAAAAGATTCTGCGCGACACTACAGTTATCAGAAATCGACTGTACCTTTAATGAAGAAAACGCCATTGCAGCTTTCTCAAAGTTCCAATTATATTCAGACAGGCACCTATGAGGAAATAAAACCCATCAGCAAAAGGGTAATTACATACAACATACATTCAGAGTAAAAGGTTCTCCCTTAAGTGACAGACACTTGGTTGTAAATTAATCAAGAGGAATTGGTGTTATAAATGGACAACTCCCGCTAGAAAGTAAGTTGTCATCTTCTCCACCATCACCTTGCTTTCTGCTGGGTAATATTTGTAGGTCGATATGGTCCAGAGAAGATACACGTTTATCACTTCTATGGCCTATAATGTTATGTCCGATTTAGCAATGGTCATTTTAGGAAATAGAGGGTCGCTTAACAGCTTTGATGAACAACGCTTATTCTGATGCTACTCACTTGTATGACCACTCTAAGTTCATTGTAGACCGCTCTGCAAACTGGAGAATCATCTGCTGCTGCTACAAATCGAAATCAAGTTAATTGACTTTAATTAAGTTATCGTTTCAAGATTTAAATAAAGTATTGTTTATGATACTTTTACCATTAAACTAGATCAAGATACAATACAATTCAGAAAGCAAACGGGTGAGCTGTCTCGCGTGCACCCCGGAGTGGTGTTTCATTATGCCAGCACGACTGACCCTGAATTGCGCGACACGAATTTGGGTAGTAGCGAATTGTATCAACATGAAGTCCTTGAGGACCTATTTCGCTGAAAAAGTTGTCTCTGTATCACATACGGGAAACAGTAAAGACGAAATTACAATTTAAGTATACAGCATTACTGGAGCGTGAGAAGCATTAGTGAGTTATAAAAATACGCTGTTCAGAAGAGCCATGGATAAAAATGTCTGACTAAACATCCATTTGTAGCTGCGATGGCTTCTCAATATCTGAGACACGAATATCCCACCTGTCTCCGAGGAAAAAAAAAACTCAAGGAAAGAAAAAGGAAATGGAGAGACAAGCCATGCCATATTTGTTAAGAGCAGAGGAAACTCTTCCTTTACATCCCATATTATCACGAAAAGCGATTTTGTTTTTACCTGTGGAGTTGCTGATGACAAACCAGGAACAGCCGCATTGACTTGTAACGTTGCAGTGCTGTTTGTGGCAATCGCACTCTCAGCAGCCTGCAACGGTTAAAGAAGTATTGATTTATTACCTAAAGTTGAAGCAATCCTTAGTTTTTTAGCGATGAGGATGGGATGAGAGGAACCAAAGTGCATGAAGGGTCAATTACCAATCGCTGTTCGGGAACCGGAGCCCGCGCTTCTCCCCGAAGAGGAGTTTCCCGAGCTCTTCTCGGGGAGGAACGAAAGAGACTGGACACGAGAGAGCGGCGGAAATCGAGCCTAAAGTGCCTGTCGTCGAAGCATTATTAAAAATGTCAGACTTATGCATTAATAGGCGTTCAATTTTCTTATTTTCTGTCTACCTTTTCTTGCTTACCTGAACTTGAGATGTTGAAGCGTGGCTAATGTGAAGTTCATCATTTATTATACTCAACCTTAAATAGATACACAATTTCAATTACTGATTGGAACCATGTAGCTATAACATAACTAAATATTTAAAATCTACAGCCTCTTTCAGGGAGTACTTGTAACTGTAAGAGTAAAGTTTGTTTTCAGTTCGGGCACTCAGAGGAGGTTTCGTGTCCAATTACAATACAATACAATACAATACAATACAATACAATACAATACAATACAATACAAAGACTTTATTTAAACACGATAATTGTTAAAGCGACTACACGCATGTGGGGTCGTGCGTAAAATGGAATAAAATGAAATGTAGTAAAATAAAATAATTAAAGTAGCCTATCAAAATTAAAAGATCTAAAAATATTTAAAATTGGGATCCTTAAAGTTCACTGTCTGTGGAGAAATAGAATTAAAGTTCAAATTTAAAAGTGCCTTTGATTTGTAGGCTAACGAGGAGAGCTGCTTAATGGTTATATTTCTTAAATTTGATTCTTGGAGAAGTGTGTTAAAAACGATAGGTTCTCTTCTGGAAAAACTGTTTTTCATGTAATGTGTATTGAATTTTGGTACTTTTATGTTGGCATTACTTCTAAGATTTTTCTTAGTATTCACTTCAACTTTTTCGGTGGTATTTTACATAGGCTCACAAATTAAAGAATAACAGTATTTTTTAACAAGTCTCTTTCTTCGCAGACTGCTGCATTGTTACTGTGCTGTTCAACAATAAATAATACTCGGGAGTCTAGTTGAATACAATGCGATTTCCCCACCCTAGAAAATAAAATAGCATCATTTCATCGGACAGAAGAATATCATTCCTCTTGTAAATAACTCACCTTCCAAGCCCTGCTGTTTGTGAGATCAAGATTTCAATTAACTTAGGATCAAAATTAAGTCAAAAGATATCAAACCAAGCGAACTTCTGACATCTTATTCCATAGAAAGGTATTGATTCTCAGGTGCACTTCGAACTTTACATGTACTTACGCCTTTCCGCTGGCAGCAGGAACAGCGAGAAATACTCTTGTAAAAGACCTCCATGTTTTTGAATCTGTCAAAATATAAAAAAATTTGCATTTAGTGGAATTTCACTCGAGTCAAATCGACGAATGAAGACACTCCAAGTAAGTTTAAGGTTAACATCATCAAAGTTTTTGTACGTATGGTAGACAATTGGGAAGGGAGACCAAACACAAGTCAATTTCGTTTTCTGTTAAGCTCGACACAAAGAAACCTTTCTCCCAAAGAAATCTCAATTCACTGCGTTTTTCAATAATACAACAGCTATGAAGCTGCGTTTTGAGCCGCCTTCAACCATTATCGTTGGGAACATCTTAAAGGGAGAAAAAAATAAAATGAAACGAGAGCTGTCAACCCTTTTTTGGACTCTGCAAGGAGTTACAGTTATGTGCTTGTAAGGTCACGACGTGATTAAGAGCAGTGTGTAATTCAGCGTGCATACGTCTCCTTGAAAACCATAATGCAACACTGTAAAGCGCTCCAACGCGAGACATACTTTTATTTTGTTTTGGGGCATGTTGTATGATGCTCTTGATCCAACGCAGCACATTGACTTTGCTAGAACATCACCAAATTCAAAAACAGTTGGGGTAGCTTGAGACTAAGCTTATTATTGAGATGAGGGCGAACGGCCTGGGACTGAATGGAGAGCGTAAACAGAATAGAAGCGACAAAAAGCGGTGGACTGGGAAGGGGAATAGATGTCCATTTTCCTTCTTCCCATTTACAGTTATTCTCCTTGTTGTTCACTGGAGCCTTGTCCTAAAGAATACAGCTAAGATAGCTGACTTACTCTCTAAGAACAATCCTCTGACTGCAAATGACAAGCAGGAAGGCTAGATGAAAAACACAGCATTCAATCAGGGTCATAGCTAAATTTGCTGGTCTACCTTCTCTCAAAGCGAAGAGTCAATTATCAAAAATCAATTAATTCACTGAGGCAAAATACCCGTGAGGTTTGCTAAATAAGGACGACCCAGTACAGAAATTAAGCAAAAAAAATACAAATCATCATAGCAAACAATGGACTAAGCTACAGTAGATGATTGTTATAAACAGTACTTCTGTGCAATAACTTACCAGGGCCAGACTCACATCAATAGTAAAACTTGACAAATCATGCTTGGTGCTGGGCAGCTCATTCAAAAATGCAACAACAGAGAGTCTTGAGTGCTTTAAGAAACTGCTTCGACGCTCTGCAAATAAAGCCATCGTTAGACGAAAACATAATCGTACAAAACAGCGTCACAACAGAATTACTGACTGCGACGATTTGCTTGCCATTCTGCGCGTTTTCGTCAGGTTCAAGCTGAGTTTTTCATTCAAGGTAAACACGAAGTTGCTACGTTACCACAACTTAATGCGTTTGGGAAACCGAGCTGCTCAGGAGAACAAGATACTTTTAGATTCCTGTGTTAGTTTTCAAAAGGTGAATGCCAAATACACAACTTAATTTTAATCAAACAATGTTAACATTCTCCATTCTAAACCATAATTGATCCCTTTGGCGGTTTCCTTAACTCTGTACCGTTTTTATACCCCCACAAAGAATGTTTACAAGTGCCACTCCAATGAAAGCCTGTTACTCTCCTTGGCTAGAAAAAGACGGAAATGACTGCATGGCTGTCCAATACACCAACCTCGTTCCCAGGGTCTCTCATCTTCCCGCCCCCCTTGAGCGAGTGGGGAGAAATGAGACAGCCTGGAAACGAGGTTGCCAATACACCTTCCCTCTAGAATCTAATGTATCTGAGGCCTGGATGAAATGTGACTTTCAAATAGCTAACTTGGAGGTTTGCAACAAGATGATTGAGTAACATAAGTTTCCTTTACAGAATACTCTGCATGTAGTTCAGGAATCGAAGATAACCTTTTAGTCCACTTGCAAAGTTTTGTAAGATTTTTTCCAATAGCAAACTGGCTAGAACACCAGCAAATTCATCGTCACTAGTACTAGTGTTCTTGAGAAAAGAAGTTCTTTTTGATATCTTTTATGAAATTATAGCTCCAAAACCACGAGAAACAACAACAACACACGAATGTGCAGGTGTGGCACAGAGCCATGGTGTAATACTGCTGGCCAGTGGCTATTTCCCTCAGCATCCGCTGTTTTATTTTCCTCACATGTCGTCCGCGCAATCCTTCTTGCGTTCCAACAGCTTTCTTCAAATGTTTGGGAGAAATGGATGATTCTTACTGGCAAACGTTTGCTTGTGGATATTTTCCTCACTCGCAGATTATCGAAATCACTCGCAGTCTGCGAGTTTGCGAGCGTTTATTTCGAGCCCTGCTTAGTTGTACAAAGGTAACAACTTTTTAGTAATTGTAAGAAACTGTTAACATTACCTGGATCTGTGACTCTTTTCAAGTTTCGGCTGTTCTTCATGTAGTCACCAAGTGAAGGAGCCCTGGTCAGAAATGAAATAGCTGATGATGATTCTTTAATCGAGTTCCGACAAACAGCTGTAACTTGACCTGTTCATCAGGGAATATTTGAGTACAGCTGTTGTTCACTAAACTAGGACACTGACCTTTGACCACCGCGATCCTTCACTAATGCTTCTGTATTGACACACATGGAAAATATTGCCTGCCAAAAACCAAATTGGTAACACTATTTAGTTCAACAAAACCAGTATCATCGCTATAACATCATCACTTGCCCTCTTTAATATATGGGGCCCATGTAATTCTTAAATCTCATCCGGGGCATTTGCTCGATCTTGGTAGACTACGAGCAGTTCCTTTTTCTAAGCGAAAATATCAGGCGAATTTAAAAGCTTTTCCCAACACACCTCGCTTCCAGAGTTCACGAGAAGCTGGGCGAGAGGGACTGGGTTAGAGGGACTGCTCTCAGCCTAGCGACTAAATTTTGTTGCCGTTTTACGGTTAACAGTTAACCCCAGTTAGACCCTCATACAATCGCCACACTCACCAAACCTGCCCCATCACAGCGTGAGATAACAACTCTGCACCAACCCGTGGCTCTAATGATAAAAAGTCTTTTAGGGCATGCAACATTTTCGCCTCCTTGAGCATAGTTACACCATTTACTGAGACTGGAAATACATGCAACTTCATAATCATTGGATATCTCTCAGAACCCATTACCTGATCATGGTAAGCTTCTAGAAGGCCTTGTCTGTTGTCTGTGTCATAAATCTTAAAATATCTAAAAGGTAGAAACAAAGTTGTGCACGAGGGAGTGGGCCCGACTGGGGCACCACCTTGAACATAGTCACATTCAAGAATACTCAAAACATTTCATGTTTTGACATCAGCATGATGAATGGCAAATCAATACTCACAGTGACACTCAATTTAAAAAAAAGGAGAAAGTAAAAAAAGTAGTTTGGGCTTTACTTTCTTCGATAATATTCCTCAATTGGCAGTTTACCTGCAAGTTTTAATTCGTTACCAGTAATCACAATAGGCAATAGAACCAGAAAATACTCAAACCAAAGTTTTGATTGGGTTTCCAAACAACTCAAAACCTTCAAATAATCATGCAGAAAATCTTTCACTTAAAAGTTCTGAACAGGCACCTGAAAGAAGTGGAATGCATATTCTCTGTTTTTCTATACTTTTGGTTAAGAAATTACTAGTGAGTTGATAAATCGAATCAAGGCCACCATTGGTAAGGAGGGAGAGTACAGCAACAATTTATGGCATGAGGTATAATTTGGAGTTGTGTATTTTGTAGACAACAGACGCTGATGTGAAACCGCATTTGTTGATGGCAGTGACAGTATGCACAGCACAAATTGATGTTTACAGGCAATGGTTAACATTCTGGTTGGACCAGTTCATTTCAGTTCAGAACAATTGTGGATAACATATCTGTAATGTACCACAGTTGCATGTTTTTGAAAGACATGGACACACAAATAGATGCAGACTGATTCACTGTGTCTGCTTTGTCCATGTCATGGGTTTAAACAGACCAGCTGGAGTTTAGTACAAATCTTCCTGTACCACCCCATCACATGCTTGGTCTGACCCAGCCGAAATGTAGCTCTCTATTAAGCAGAGCTAATGCTTTCTGAGCCTTAGTTGAGAAGGCACTCTGGTTTAAGTACACTCAGCAGAAGATAAAATTATGATATGTTCAAACTGGTAAAACAATTCTTTTAAATAGAAAGAAAACCACATTTAGAACTGCCGTGTGGTAGAGTCTAAAGAGGAATAAATGATATTTCTGACAACAACACTGCACAAGGAAAGACAAAAAACATCTAAGAAAATGCCATCATACACCATCACTACCATCAACACCAAGCAAGATGCTAAATTCTGTGATAAAACAAACCCTACTCAACTCTGCCATTGTTACGAAGACAAAAAAAGGCATGTGAGGCATATTGTTGCTGTTATTTTCCTTCCATACATACAGTTTGACAGATTTCTTCACACCAAGATTTTATCCGAACTTTGAATGGTGAATTTTAAGAGAGAAATGATGATTTTCTGTTTTCCCAGAGGTAAAAAATCAAATTACATTACTATTTTATGTGTTCATGGGTCAAATACAAATTTTCTCTTACTGGAATTCCTTTGAAAAGTTGAGCTGAAAGACCATGAGATGTTGTTCATTCATTTGGCTTTAGTTTTGGACAGCAGCTAGATTGACATTTACACAACAATTTCGCTTTTAAGAAATTTTTGGTGTTGGTCAGAAAATTTCATTGAGAGCTTTTCTGCCCAATCATTCCATCCTTTTTTTTTTCTAGCCCTGTGAGCGTGTCATGTTCCCTAACATTTCACTGGAATATAACAAAACTTCAAAACCCCAAAACACTTTGATGAAATACATATGTTGGCCTTTTGAAGAGGCAAGCTCATCATACTTTTGTATAATGGTTGAAATCGGTAAAGTAGAGACCACAATCTACATTTTCTGGGTGCACATAAAAATATGAACTACATACTGGTCAATGAATTTTAGCACCAGGTCCTTAACTGCAGGATCACCAAAAAAACTTTCCTAAAAATCAAATGAATAAATAAATAAATAATTCCATTTGGATTTAATTCAGTAGTCTGAAGTGAAAGAGAAACCACTCCTAGTCACAGTATTTAACTATGCAATTCAATTTATTATTGTTGATTGGATATAAAAAAGTTAAAAAATAATGTAGCTAGAACA